CTCCCACTTTGCTCCTCTTAAGTACACATGGAGGGATGATGTGATTCCTCTACACACGAGAACATTAAGGCACAGAGATGGGGACTTAGCCTTCTCTCTCTAAGTCCAGTTTTTCTATCAGTTGAGACTGCAGTCCAACTCCAGGTAGCAAGAGGCGAGAAGCCACGCTCTGTCCCCAAATGCCAGACTTTCCAAACACTGTCCAGCTTGCTCTTGCTTAGCCTGTTGACTCCTGTTTGCTGACTTCTCTCCTGTAGGAAGCTGCTCTTGCTGCCAAGTTCACGGAAGTTAACGCCATCAACAGACAGAGGCTGCAGAATCTGGAGTTTGCTCTGAGTCTCCTGAGACAGGTAATAGGTCTTAGTAAGACATTTTTTCTTTTTAGGGTTATATTTATTTTAGAGCAAGAGAGCGAAAGAGACAGGGGAGAGGCAGAGGCGAGGGAGAGAGAAAATCCCAAGCAGACTCCTCGCATAGTTTGAAGCCCAATCCCATGGCCCCGAGATCACTGCCTAAGCCGAAATTAAGAGTCAACCCACTGTGCCACCTGGGCGCCCCTCTTAGTAAGACATTTTACTCAAAACTATGCCAGCAGGTGAGAAGGCTCATTCTGCTTCTACGAAACAGTCTGAGCTGGCGGCAGTGTCCCTTGCTAACATGGCTGGACAGCACCAGGCCAAGAACTGGCCCCTGCCAGCGCCTCTGTTGACATGAATGTAACACGCATGCCATCCAACATCTGCTGAGTTCCCAGGAGCAGGTAACTTATTTTCAGAAGCCCACGTCCATCCGTCCACACAGTAGAAAATGAAGTAGCACCACTGTGGAAACAAGCAGAGTGCAGAACAGGGGACAACCATCTGTGCACAGATACACATGTCTCAAAGATGACCCATAGCCTCTGGGAACACGACCAGAGTGTGGTTTCACTTCACACTCTTCTGTGGCTGTAAAATATTTTATCATTTAAAAAACCTAAACTACTTGTTTTTACCATTTTCAAAAGTAACCCTAGAACTCTAGTGACCTTGGCACTGAGGGAGCCTTGGGGGGTCACCGGACAACCAGTCTGACGTGTTCATAGGTGACCGAGGTGTGCTCTGACCGGTGGCAACAGGCCAAGCAGAGCGTCCAGCTTTAACCACGCACTGTCTTCTCCTCCTCAGCAACCGGAGGTGGGAGCAAGTCATGAGACCCTGCAAGGGAGCACAGCAGGCTCCACAGTGGAGGAGATGTGGAAGGTTCAGAAGGAGCTGGATGAGGAGACTGAGCGGAGACAGCAGCTAGAGAAGGAGGTCAGGAGCGCCCAGGAAGAAATCCAGACTCTGCAGAAGCGGAGCCCCCAGGAAGCGGTGGTCAAGAAGGAAGTGCTGAAGAAGGTGCCAGACCCCGCGCTCGAGGAGAGCTTCCAGCAGATGCAGCAGACCCTGGTGGAGGAGCAGCACAAGAACCAGCTGCTGCAGGACGAGCTGGAGACGCTGCGGCTGCGGCTGCGCGCCCTGGAGCAGGAGACCAGGGACGGGGGGCAGGAGTATGTGGTCAAGGAGGTCCTGCGCATCGAGCCAGACAGAGCCCAGGCGGACGAGGTCCTGAAGCTCAGGGAGGAGCTGGAGGAGCTGAGGCGGCAGAAAGGCACCCGGGAAGCAGAGGCGGCCCTCCTGCAGCAGCGTATCGCGGCCCTGGCTGAGGAGAAGAACCGGGCGCAGGAGAAGGTGACAGAGAAGGAGGTGGTGAAGCTGCAGAATGACCCCCAGCTGGAGGCAGAGTACCGGCAGCTGCAGGAGGCCCAGCAGCGGGAGGGCCAGCTCAGGGAGGAGCACGAGGAGGAACTGACCTTCCTCCAGGACAAGCTCAAGAGGCTGGAGAAGGAGCGGGCCATGGCGGAGGGGAAGATCACAGTGAAGGAGGTGCTTAAGGTGGAAAAGGATGTGGCAACCGAGAGGGAGGTGGGCAACCTCAAACGCCAGTATGAGGATGAGGAGGCCAAGGCTCGCGCCAACCAGAGGGAGAAGACTGAGCTACTCCGCAAGATTTGGGCCTTGGAGGAGGAAAATGCCAGAGTGCTGGTGCAGGAGAAAGTGCGGGAAATCGTCCGGCCGGACCCCGAGGCAGAGAGGGAAGTGGCCAACCTCCGCCTGGAGCTCGTGGAGCAGGAGCGCAAGTACCGGGCGGCCGAGGAGCAGCTGAAGAGCTACCAGGGCGAGCTGGAGGCACTCAGGAGGCGGGGCCCCCAGGTAGAGGTCAAAGAAGTGACCAAGGAAGTCATCAAGTACAAGACTGACCCTGAGATGGAGAAGGAGCTTCAGAGGCTCAGGGAGGAGATTGTGGACAAGACAAGACTCATTGAAAGGTGTGATTTAGAAATCTACCAGCTGAAGCAAGAGATCCAGTCTCTGAAAGACACCAAACCCCAGGTGCAGACCAAGGAGGTGGTCCAGGAGATCCTCCAGTTCCAGGAAGACCCCCAAACCAAAGAGGAAGTGCAGTCTTTGCGGGCCAGGCTCTCAGAAGAACAGAGGAAACAAGTGGATCTGGAAAGGGAGGGGGCCTCCCAGGAGGAGAAGATCAGGCAGAAGGAGGAGGAGCTGTCCCAGGTGAAGGAAAAGGTGGTCCAGCAGGAGGTGGTCAGGTACGAGGAGGAGCCCGGCCTGCGGGCTGAGGTGAACGCCTTCACCGAGAGCATCGATGTGGAGCTGCGGCAGATCGACAACCTCCGGGGGGAGCTGCGGCGGCTGCAGCGCCGGCGCGCGGAGCTCGAACGCCAGCTGGAGGAGCTGGAACGCGAGAGGCAGGCACGCAGGGAGGCCGAGCTGGAGGTGCAGCGCCTAAAGCAGCGGCTGGCTGACCTGGAGGAGGAGGAGGGGGAGGCCCGGGAGAAGGTGACCCTCAAGCAGAAGGTGGTGCTGCAGCAGGACCCCCAGCAGGCCAGGGAACACTCTCTGCTCAAAGTCCAGCTCGAGGAAGAGAGGCACCGGCGGCAGGTCCTGGAGAGCGAACTTGAGACCCTGAGAAAAAAGCTCGACAACCTGGAGAAGATGGAGGTCAAGGAGAAGGTGGTCTTCTCCGAAAGCATCCAGGTGGAGAAAGGTGACACCGAACAAGAGATCCAGAAGCTCAAGAGCAGCCTGGAGGAGGAGAGCCGGAGCAAGAGGGAACTGGATGCGGAAGTGAGTCGGCTGGAAGCCAAGCTGTCGGAGCTGGAGTTCTGTAACTCCAAGTCATCCAAAGAGCTGGACTTCCTAAGGGAAGAAAACCACAGGCTGCAGCTGGAGCGGCAGAGCCTGCAGCTCGAGACCCGGAGACTCCAGTCGGAAATTGAAATGGCGGCAACAGAAACACGAGACCTGAGAAACAGGACCACGGCAGACTCTGCGACGAACCTGGACTCCAGACTGTGGTCCCTGGAGAGAGAACTGGATGACCTCAAGAGGCTCTCCAAAGACAAAGACCTTGAGATCGATGAGCTGCAGAAGCGCCTGGGCTCCGTGGCCGTCAAGAGGGAGCAGAGGGAGAACCACCTCCGGCGCTCCATTGTGGTCATCGACCCCGACACGGGCCGGGAGCTGTCCCCAGAGGAAGCCCAGCGGGCCGGTCTCATCGACTGGAACATGTTTGTCAAACTCAGGAGCCAGGAGTGTGACTGGGAGGAAATCTCGGTGAAGGGTCCTAGCGGAGAGTCCTCTGTGATCCATGACAGGAAGTCTGGCAGGAAGTTCTCCATTGAAGAGGCCCTGCAGAAAGGAAGGCTGACACCGGCTCAGTATGACCGCTATGTCAATAAGGATATGTCCATCCAGGAGCTGGCCGTCCTGGTGTCTGGGCAGAAGTAGGCACAGTCTAGCCCTCCGTCTTCTTGGAAGCCTACCCAGTACCACCGTGTCTTCTCCTCCCTGGCCCTGTGCAGACTCCTGACCTGTGCAGAGCTGAGCACATCCCCCAAGCCCTCGCTGTCATTCAACCTGGGTGAGGGACCTGCTTCATCCTCTGATGATCAGACAACCATGATGCCACTCTGCTGTCCTTTTCCACACACTTCCATCAGTAGACTCCTTGTATGACACCTGGAAGCAACCCGAAAAAACTAAAGCACACGACCCATGACGACTGAAGCAGACAAGCCTACTCCGAGCACCAGCCTTCACACCCCAGGTGGGGGGACCCTCGGGCAGAAAGGCCTCCCTTCCACACACCTTTCCATACATCAAAGGGCTGGGACCCTCAGGGCTGCTGACCTGCATTCACATCTCCCTGGGTACTGGCTGAGAGCAGACTTTCTGTCAGAGTCCTCCTGGTGAAACAGATCCGGGTTCTAGGCCAGAAAAGGTGCAAAGAAGCCAGAACAATGACCTTCAGTGCTAGAGTGAAGGTAAACTGTCAGCCAGACTGTCCCAGGAAAACGCACCATCAGAGAATGTGTTGTGGTTCTGAAATTAAAGTATTTTCATAAAGGACTGTATTTCTATTAGCCTTAGTTTTAGTGCCTTACAAATCTTATCAGCTCATTGGTATTGAGGTATACTAACTATACACTGACTTTCCACCAAATGAATTTTAGGTTCTCTGTTATCTCATGTATTATGTAAGAAAATGGGACTAGGGAACTCTATTTATAGTGTGAAAATAAACACCTGGTGGCTTGATTCTAATTTCATAGTGTTTCTTCTTTTGCATGTGAGGCTTTTTATTTCCTCTGCTCCCTCTTGGCTTATGGCCAAAATGGATATTCTACATCTACCAGCTCCTAGGGGAAGAATTAATTGCAAAAAAGGTAAAAAGAAGGGCGCCTGGGTGGCTCAGTCGGTTAAGCGACTGCCTTCGGCTCAGGTCATGATCCTGGAGTCCCGGAATCGAGTCCCATGTCGGGCTCCCCGCTCGGCGGGGAGTCTGCTTCTCCCTCTGACCCTCTCCCCTCTCATGCTCTCTCTCACTCTCTCTCTCTCCAATAAATAAATAAAATCTTTAAAAAAAAAAAAAAAAGGTAAAAAGAATGAGAAACAATGTTTTGGAAACCTTGAAACAATTTATTGAGTTGCTTTATACAAGATTAACAATTTCCACACCACCCCCCAACACCAACATAGTCTCGCTGCACAAAAGCCACAGCCCCTCTCACACCTCAGGAGCGGCTGCACCGAGGGCAGCACCCCCACCTCCCCCGCCCCGGAGCCCGCTCTGCCTGCCGGGCGCAAAGGCCGTGGCTGTGTAAGTCATTCACTCTTTCGTTACCACAAATAAAGCATAAACAAGAAAAACAAATCTCATAAACTCCCCATCAAAGAAACGTTTCCCTGAGGCAAGAGGCATCACTAGATTCCTAAAAATGAGGGTATTCTGCTCCAGCTGCACACTCAATGGTACATGGGGAGGAGGGAGCGCTGCAGGAAGGGACCTTGGGTGTTCTCGGGTGGAGAAACCTGGAGAGTTCCCACTGCTCAGTGTTCACGGGCGGCCTCTGCGCGGCTCTGAGCTCAGCAATACAAATCTCTTCTTTGGCTCTTTTGCTACTACCTAAGACTATTCTGTAAACAAACTGGAAACCCAAGTTGCAAAAAATAGGTACAATGAAGGGATAAGGAATCCACTCTAGCCCGATGTGAAACACATGTTGGTTCTTACGTTTAAAAAAGAAAAGAAAAAAAAAAACCAAATAAACAGCAAAGGCCTAGCCGGACAGCTGACGGAGGTGTTGCTCCACTGGAACCCGGGCAAACCTCTGCATGAACTGAGTTACTGAGCACTGTACCCTGGAAGGCAGGAACCAAGAGAGCTGCCTGTGTCTCCACACAGGTGTACATTCTGAGGAGGCGGATTACTCTTAACATAATTGCAATCATTTAGCTGAAGCAGTCAGTTCAGACACGCCTTGTGGTACACACTTCACGGGACAGGCAAGTGCCCTAACCATCCTCGTGAAGCAGCCGCCGGCTGAGTGCGCTCCGCGGTAGCTGTCCTAGTCTGTCTCTGGCGCACTCTCCAAGCTTACTGGTGCGCCACCCTTAAGTCAAAGCCCAGCCCTGCTGCGTGGAGAGCTCCAGGACGGCGAGTCTGTTTCTACATGGCAGACGCTTCACAGAGGTCTGTTCCTGCAGCTCTGCCTGACAATGGTTTCTAAACAAAACAAACTGGAATGTCTGTGACTTGGAACCCCTCATATCCTTGGCCCTCCAAAAGATGAAGGGCTTTGGGGCTCTGCAGTCCACCTGTATGAACTCAAATAAAACGGGGCCCTGGCTGTACTGGGACTTGGGATTTGGGGGCCCAGATGACCTTCAAGTCAGGACGGCACAGATTATGATGTGCAACTGTAAAAAACTCAAACTGGCTATGTCTTAAATACAGACATATCTTTTAAAAAAGTCTTCATCTGAGATCCACCCAGAGGGCTGAATGGACGTGTGTCTAATTCTGCTCCACCATAAAGGCACTGGAATTATGTCTTACTATAATATGACATGCGAAAAGCAGTCCCATTCTATCCAATGCATTAATGGTAATGATGAAATCTGGACCAAAATAAGTGTCTTTAAAAATCCTGTCACAACTGTTGAATCTACAAAGGTCTTTTCTCTGAAAGAGCTTCATTGTCACGTTCAGCAGAGATGCTGGCCCCCACCATGATGAGCACACGTTAGGTGTTCTGAGTATTTTTCCAAAAAAACAAGGTAAGGTAAGTCTCCCAGCTGTTGTGTTAGCTGGGAGGTTTTTGTCCTGTTGAGCACACAGCCTGAGGATGGGACAGACACCATGACCATCCAGGGATCCCACTGTGGCCAGAAGGAGTCCCTGACCACTAGGGCACCATAAGGTACTCTGACCAAATGCCAGGGGTCAGGTGGATTTAAAGCACGTGTGCCAACTGCTCCGCCCTGACACCAGAGCTTCGTACACGACCCAGCGCGCACCCCAGCCCAGAGCTGCCCCTCCAACGATTGTCCATGACACAGCCGCGCAGCCCGGAGCACCACGCCAGTCCGTGCCTCCGGAGAAGCCCAGGGCTGCTCCCCTAACAGAAGGCACATCACAGTGCCAAGAGATGCTCCACTTAGCACTCACACCTTCTCCAGAAGAAAGCCAATCGGGGCAGAAAGAGCATAGTGATTATCCAGTTTCTGAGACCTACTTGTTCAGCTTCCGCCCAGACCTAAGTTAGTCGGGCCTTTCCTCTGAAGAGATCACAATTTCCGTGGTACACCGGGCCCTTTTCCATGAAGTTGAGAAGCATCTGGAAAAGAATAAGCAAAAATAACACAAGTCTTTCAGGATCTCGGATTCCCTCAAGGTGGCAGTAACAAAACCTCAAGGAGATCACCTAAATAGCAAAAGGCCCCCGAACGCTGAGCCCAAAAACCCTTGCCAGAGACTGAGTGCACTGCTACTTGTGGCAGCTCCCAGTGTGCATGGCACTCTGAGCTCTGTGATGGCAGCTGCCCGCTGCGTGCTGCGCACCCAGAGCCACTTCCGTTCCCCGCTGCCACCACCATCCCCTGGCGCGCTGCGCTCCACTCAAGCAGCAGTGAGCACTCTCACCATCAAAACCCTCAGGCCCTACAAAGACAAGTTCAAAGGTGCTAGCATTCTGAGTCTGCATGGGAAAGAAAGCAAAGCAGACACAGTCACACAGCTGAAATAAGCCGGCAGCTTTTCATTTACAACCACTCAATGTAATCCTCCTACATGAAGAAGGGCTAAAGGAGACAGAGAGGGTACAGGAAAGTGCTTTTCCTTTTTTCTGTTGTTGAAAATATCACAGGCCAACAGTCATGTTCCAATGGCTCTTCAATTATTTTGTTTCTGTTTGAAAGTGTGACATTCCGTGTGCCACGGAAATTGTGACCTCTTCAGAGGAAAGGCCCGACTAACTATGCTCTTTCTGCTAAGTGGAGCATCTCTTAGGCACTGTGATGTGCCATCTTTCAAACCACACACTCTCACCTAGGTGGCTCTTTGACCCCCATATTATCCTCTTAGCTACTACAGCAGCCGCCAGTTTGCAGAGTAAGTGCACTGTAGCTATGGCTTCTCTAGAGGAAAATGGAGTCACTGTTGATCCAGGAAGCTTAGCCCCTTGGTTCCTTTCTCTAAAGAAGCAAAATTTCCATCTTGAAAATTTTCAGTCCAGTCTTATGCCCAGATGGCCTGTGGTGTTCACTAGGAATGCATCAGCCTTGGAACACGGGGGCCAGAGATCCATAGCAAATCTGGAGATAGACACAGACTTGGGAATTGTCAGGCCACAGGCATGCCCAGCCAGGCAAGCTCCCTGTCTTACTCCCACCCCGGCACCTGTGCACCAGGGCTACCCAGGCTCAGCTTCCTGAAGAATGGCTCTCCCCTGACTGATGTAGCATCCCCGGTCCTCTCTGGAGCAGGTCTAGAGTAGTAAGAAGAGGACAGTAGGCCAAAACCAAGATCCCATGAGGCTTCCCACCAGCGTGCCATTAGGCGTGTTTACGAATCATGTTCCAGCACAGGGCGAGGCCAATCACTTACTAGGAAGGTGCCAGCTGGAGCATCTGTGTGGCCTTCTCACAGCAATACCACATCCCTTTCTGAAATCTACTGACCTACAGAGATGAAAAGCAGGAAGAGAAGAGGAATGCTGCCCCAGGTCCTGCTGTGCTCCCTAATGTCTGCCTTCACCCCTGAACTCAAATGAAAGATGTTCCTCTCTGGCACACAGGCTGACATCACAAGTAAGGGTCCCTCCTAAGACCTTGTCCCTGTGACCTTGCTGCTGTTTGGGCTCTCCCTTTCACTTGTAAGTTTAGCTGGCAGCACCTGGAAGGTGCAGCAGCTTAAACGTAAAGGCCTTTCAGTGCCCCAATTAGCCCTTGGGTATTAGCACCGATGCGAGCACCAACTTTAGCTAAGGGAATTCACCTGCCTCACACACAGGCCATTACAACTTCCCCTGTGATCACACAGGGTAAGGGTGACCCACTGGCAGTTCCAAGTGGGGAACGAGAGGAAATTTCAAAGTGGAAGCCTCTGTCGGTCTCTCTGAGTACCCGAAGAGCCAGAGTCTTGAAGGACAAACCAGGACGACACTGTAACAGCAAGCTGAAGACACTGAACTCCCTGGCAGCAGACAAGGCATCTAATGGGTAGGGAGCAGAATGACGGTACGGGATGCACGGCACTCTGATCACCTGGCAATTACCTGGCAGACTCTGCGGGATGTGGGTGGACACGGCAGCGTGTGGGAGAGGCGCTGCACGGGGTGGGCTGGAGTGCAAGCCAGCCAGGAGACCTGAGAGAAAACAGGAGGGGAGAAAAGAACAAAACACACACATTGAAGACAGGAACAGAAAAGCTGCTTCAGCGGTTGAGAGCCCAGACAACCTATTGGACCGGTTCTGGGTGAGAACCCCAAGGGGAGGGAGGGCTCAGCACGGATCCCAGGAATGCTGCCCATGGTCACACACCAGACAAAACACAGGAACCCAGCACACGACAACAGAACTCATCAATGGGGGCACAGGCGCTGGGGAACCTTCTGTCCCTCCAGCATGAGGAGAAACGAGAGCAGCACTTACTATGGTTGAGGCCGTGGTGGAATGTCCCAGGGGCAGGACCCGTGACGATGGCATCCTTGGAAACCCCTGCTTTCGCAGAGGACTCGGCGCTGAAGGAGAGCACGTGGAGGGGAAACTGGGAGATGATCCCCAGGGAGCTGGAGTTCATGGCTCCGGGCAGTTTCGGGCTGCCGGACTTGTAGGATGCAGACAGCAGATTTAAGGGCGAGGAGCTGGCCAGCAGCACAGCCCCACTCGTTCCTTTCTGGGGAGGAAACACAGCATGGTCAGAACGCCAGCTCCGTCTGCAGCTCACACACAGACCAAGGCTGGAAACGGACGCGGGGACCCACTCGTAGACCACCCCTCAGGAAGGTGCCCCGTGCTCTGCCGCCCCAGAGGAAGGAAGAGGACAGCCTCTGAACTGGCGTGGAATGGCTCCTAGGACAGTGTTCACTTAAAAAGCTGGGTATTAACTATGCCTCCTTTGTGCAAGAAAGGAAGGATATCTTCTGTAGATATCCACAGGTGACACACACTGGTGTGTCCATATTTATATACACAAAACATACATATATTTGTTTGTATGTTTTTAGAAAAAAACAGGAAAAATGTGAAACTAAGGAATATAGTCACCTTGCAGGGGTGGCAGGACAGGATAGAGGCAGGTGAGACCTTGCTCAACATACCTTTCTATAGTTTTGTCTTTGTAAACACACAATCCTTTTATATACTGGAAAAAAGAAAACAACTGCTCTCTCCCATGCCCCCAACCTGCATCCAAACTTCTTGTAATTACCCACAGGCAAGCCTCATTAACCACTGGACTCTGCCAAACTGCCTCTGTCTGACCTGCAGAATCCTTTAAAACCCAACCAAAAGAATCACTCTTCCTGAGGCATGAACATCTCCACAAAGCTGATGATCTGAGCGGTGACAGCATTTCGTTTACTTGTTTGGAGAGATGGACAAGTAGGAGCTATGAGATAGGAAAGGAGTTTTGTGCCTCGTTCTATACCACCCACGATCATAGCATCCCTGCAAACCAGGCCTTTCCCTCTGCTCATCCTCAAGAGAAGTTTCAGGCTCTCCTAAGATTCCTACCACCAGAAAAGTAAAGACCTGAAAACAGGAAGCCCAGTCCTCCTTCCAATTTTCAGGCTCACTGTTCCTACCTGACCTTCAGTGTCAGATCTCACTCTCCGAGCAGGGCAAGGCAAGCGGCCCTGTCCACAAGACCCACGAGGGGCGGGCTGCTGTGCCAGGACACTCACTGGCAAGGAGGTAGACGATGTCACGCTGCTAACCGCGCTGGACTTCAGGGAGGAGGTCAGTAGCTTTGCCACTCCCTGGGTCCCACCACTGGAGTCTCCACTTGGACCACCCGGAGGGGCCACCAGGGTCAGCTTCTGGGAAACAGGTGGTTTTTTCACTGCAGAGCCTGGGACAGGTCTGCTGGCAGACGGTCCTGTGGAGGGAGGCTGTACGCCGGGGAGCAGGTTCCCGGAAGCAGAGCTCTGGACTGGTGTTCCTCCAGAGGAAGAGCTGCCAGAAGAAACCCCGTGTTTAGAGACCGAGCTGGCAAAGGGACTATTCTTGTAAGATGGCCCTGAAGAGCTGGCTGAGTGCTGTTTTGCTGGATGGCTCAGGGCAGTGGAGGACGAGGCTGGGGTCTTATGAGAGTTGCTGCTAGAGGCTGGTGTGCCTCCTGAAGAGGCCGGCGTGGAGGGATGGAAGCTCTGGCCCTTGGTTGCTGTCTTCACAAGCTGGAGGAGGGAACGATGGCACTGCGGGGAGGAAGGCTTTGGGCCCTGGAGCTTATTGACAAAAGGAGCTGGAGGGGTGAAGCTCTTTTGCTGTTGAGTGCCTGCATGAAAGACTTTGACTTGGGGGCCAGGCACAGGAGCTGCCGCCTGGGGTGCATGAGGCGTCCGTGGCAAGCCATGGTGCTTTGCTTTGGACTGGTGCACTTCCGACAGGCCCTTGCTGAGCGTGGCCTGACAGGACAGCTCTTTGTAGCCAGAGCTCTCTGGTTTTGTCTCCTGAGAGGACTGCCCCAGTGCCAAAGCCTGTTCGGCCAGAAAATTGAGGGGAGACTGCAGGGAACTAGAGGCTGGTGGGGCAGAAGGGCTGGGCTTTGGAAAGTTCCTCTTCTCTTCTGAACACACGACGCCCACCATCTTCTCTGCAGGTGCTTTTGAGGGTGCCGGCAGTGGGAACTCAGAGCTCCCACCTGCTCTGCTGCTCAGCACAGCCAGTTCCTTAGATACCACCTCCAATGAGGAGGCTGAATTACGGATCAAGTCTCCATCCAACGAGTCCTCCAGGTTGATAGGAGCAGGATTAGCAAGGCTGCCAGATGCCTGGGCTGAGAGCTCCCTGTTTGCAGCCCCAGTGCTCAGGCCTCCTCCCGGGTGTTCTGAAGGCAAAGCCAGGGGGCCGCCAATCTGGCCTGGTGGGATGGAAACCTTTTTATCAGGCTTAGTAGATGATTCCTAAAGGAAAGCAGGAATTCTGATGTTTAGAAATGTCCAAAGGTGCCAACACTGGCCCTGTGGTGAGAACACAAATGTGAGAACACCACAAGGCCCAAAGAACCAGGTCTTCCTGTACAATCACAAAACAAGACAGGAAGAGAGCGGTTGCCACACCTGCTTGGACTTGAAAGTGCTGAACTCCTTCACCCCCTCTGGCTCCTGTCTGGCTGGTTGGGGCTGGGCTTACCAAGCATGCTTTCTTGCTAGGGACCCATCCACCCACAAAGAAATTCTTCTTCTCTCTTTCTGAAAAAGCGTAAGACTCGAGCAAAGAGATGCTCTCCCTACTGGGCACACACTGTCTCAGAGTATTCCCAGCTGCAATTAGAAAATGATGCATGGCATGAGAATTGCCTTAAATTAGCTTTCTTCTCCTCCTTGGTCTTCTCCAGCATCTGTCTCCTCAGTTGGGTGCAAAGGAAAAGTCCTGTCACAGAAGTGGGAACAGGGTCTACCTCATCACTCTCACATTCCAAGTGCTTAATGCAATTTGTCCTAGACACTGTAGGACCTCAACAGATACTTTAGAATACAGAGTTTACACAGCTTATTCTCATGGACTGTTTATGTACGGTTAAGGACACTATAAAGCCACATTAGCTGTTAAAAATTTCAGCAAAACAGCAATTTTTACTACATTGAAAGGCTTCTGCAATGCCTAAGATGGTTTTCAGTTCCCCCCACCTCCCCAGGCAAACACAACAAAGCCACCTGTCCCTTCTGGTACAGCTCCAGGCAAACCTGCACCTGGCTAGCAGTGTTCTTTCACGAAAAGAGTATCATCACACTATACGACCTTCACATCTGCAGGGGCTCTTCACTCCTCAGAGGACTGTCAGGAAGACCTCATTGAAATCCGACCACCACCACCACCACCACCCCAGGAACGGGCCAGATAGGGTACTGTCTCCTAGAACTAAGGCTGGAAGGTACTAAGTGGCCTGGCTAAGGTCTCTGCCCTGCCAACCTCAGGCTCCTGCGATGGGCCAGGCTGCCTCTTGGACAGCTTCAAGGGTGCCATCCTGAAGAGCTGTCCCCCAGTCCAGCCAACCCCAATGAGCTGCTCTAGTCGCTTAAGAGGTTTCATACGCATGGCTGGAGAGAAAGGAGAAGAGCACATGACCTGAGCAGGCTGACTCACCTTCATCTTGATTTTGGAAGAGGCCATTACTTTTTTCTTGGCCCTGTTCAAAGGAATGAACACAGAAACGGTTTAGAGGAGATCCACAAAGGAGGTGAAAATAACAGTCGCCCTGAGAAGAGAAAATACTGAGACACTCACAGGATTGATGTCAAGTGCCCATGGCCTCGTCTGCTCTCCTTAAACAGAGTCCTGAAACAGAGAGAGAACACTAGGCAGTCTGTGGAAACCCCCTGAAGGCAGGCTCTCTGCTTCTAGAGCTTTCCTACCATCCCTGGTACTCAGTAGCTATTACACCTTAAATGTCAGTGGCCTGGTGAGCTTAATTCCTAAAATGGCTGCACTGGCCACTGGAAAGCAAACAGTCTAGGAGTGTCCCAAAAAATCTATGGGTTTGCCGCAAAATTTCTCATAGTGATTTTTCCCCTAAAGGCAGGAGTGCTTTCCTTATTGCTGATTCTCATCCCTTCCAAGAGTGAGATGTGGAGTGACCACAGCACGTCTTTCTCCAGAGAAACAACAGAATTTTCTTTATGCCCCTCCCTATGCACTTCTTTTTTTTTTTAAGATTTTATTTATTTTTTTGACAGAGAGAGAGCAAGAGAGGGAACACAAGCAGGGGGAGTGGGAAAGGGAGAAGCAGGCTTCCTGCTAAGCAGGGAGCCCAATGTGGGGTCAATCCCAGGACCCGGGAATCATGACCTGAGCCGAAGGCAGACACTTAACAACTGAGCCACCCAGGCGCCCCCCTATGCACTTTCAGGTGTTCAATCTAAAGAAAAGAGCAAGTCCACCTAAAGAAGGGACACAAAGAAAGGCTCCATGCTTTGGATCCTGGGAAGATGGTGGAGTAGGAAGCACCGGGAATTGTCTACCCACCTGGACAACAACTGCACTAATAGAATCTAAAACAACTATTTTGGGAGTATCTAAGTGGCTCAGTCGGTTGAGCGTCCGACTCTTGATTTGGCTCAGACTCAAAGTGGAGTCTGCTTGAAGATTCTCTCTCTCCCTCTCCCTCTGCCCCTCACTCCCTCACATACTCGCACTTTCTCTCTAATAAATAAATAAATAAATCTTAAACTAGAATAACGATTTTGGAATTCTAGAGTATGTTGAAGGCTTACAACTTATAGGGGAGGGCCTGGAGGGTAAATTGCTGTCAATTTCAGCTCTTAGCACAGTTGCAGCCTTCTGTTCCCAGCCCCATGGCAGGCAGCCATACATGTGTCCCCAAAGCAGCTTACAGGAACTAGGGTGGGCAAAAATGACCCTGTGCTCCAAGTATCGGGAATCTTTGCTCTGATTGCTGACTGCTGCTTTTCATCACAGAGATGCAGACAAAGAGGTGGGCAGCCACTGCTGTCAACCTCCCACCCCTGCCCACACCACCCACCGGTGGCAGGCCCTTGCCCCTCTGGCTGAGGTGACTTCCAGGGGATTTGAAAAACTGGTGCCCTTTTCCCCTCCTTCACTGTTCACTTTCCCACTTTCAGGAGACAGATATTAAGAAACAGACCATTCAAAACTGCGTATACGGGGAAAAATGAGAAAGTGAATACACGTGCCCAAGGAAGGGTTCAGACAAGACCTGGGAAGGCATTAAGTTTACACTGCAGGCTGCTCCCAGGCACAGAGACCGCCCACAACCTTCGCAAAAACAAAAACAATATACAGAATGGGGGCCATAGTTAACAATACTGTATTGCATGTTCAAAAGTTGCTGAGGGAGTCAATCTTTTTTTTAAAAAAAAAGATTTTACTTACGAGAGAGAGAGAAAGAGAGCACGAATGTGGGGGGGAAGCAGAGGGAGAGGGAGAAGCAGACTCCCCACTGCGCAAGGAGCCAGATGAGGAACTCGATCCCAGGACCCTGGGATCATGACCTGAACCGAAGGCAAACGCTTAACCGACTGAGCCACCCAGGTGTCCTTTTTGTTTTTTGTTTTTTGTTTTTTTTAAGTAGGCTCCAACGTGGGGCTTGAACTCATGACCCTGAGATCAAGACCTGAGCTGAGATCAAGAGTCGGACGCTAAACCAACTGAGCCACCAACGTGCCCCTAAGAGAGTCAATCTTAAAAAGTTCTCGTCAGGGCACCTGGGTGGCTCAGTCGGTTAAGTGCCTACCTTCGACTCAGGTCATGATCCCAGGGTCCTGGGATTGAGTTCTGCATTAGGCTCCCTGCTCAGCGAGGAGTCTGCTTCTCCCTCTCCCTCTAGCCCTCCCCCCTGCTCGTGCTCTCTGCCTAATAAATAAAAATCTTAAAAAAAAAGTTCTCATCAAAAGAAAAATTGTAACTATGTGAGATGATGGATGATCCCTAGATTTACTGTGGTAAGCATTTCACAACACATACAAATATCAAACCATTATGTTGTACACCTGAAACTAATATTATATGTCAATTACATCTCCAAAAAAACCAAGCAATAAAAACAATAACAAACAAAAAGTAAACCCTGGGGAAGTGAGAGACTCTGATTTCTAGAGTTACCACATTCAATTCAAATGTCCAGTGCTCCACACACATGCACAGAAAAAAATCATAAGGCATACAAACAAACAGGAAAGTATGGGCCATTCAAGGGAGAAAATACCCAGAAACTCTTCCTGAAAAAGACCTAATGGCAAATACACTAGACAAAGACTTTAAAACAATGATCTTACAGATGCTCAAAGAACTACAGGAAGATGTAAAGTAAAAAAAGAATATGTGAACAAAATGGAAATACCAATAAAGAGAGAAAACCTAAAAAGAAATTAAGAAGAAATTCTGGAGCTTTAAAGTGCAGTAACTGAAATGAAAAATTCCTTGGAGATGTTCAAACACAGATGTGAGCAAACAGAGGATAATCGAAATCACCAAGTATGAGGAACAGAAAAAAGACGGAAGAAAAGTGAACAGAGCAGAGGGATGTGTGGGACACCACCTCTGTAGAAGTCCCAGGAGAAGAGATGGCAGAGAGGGCAGAGAGAGCAGTGGAAGAAATACAGCTAAAAACCCCCCAATGAAAAAGATCAACATAAACATCCAAGATGCTCAATGAACTCCAAGATGAACTCCAAGATGAACCCTACACAGAGAAACATTGTCATCAAACTTTTAAAACACAAAGAATCTTGAAAGCCCAAGGGGAGAAGTAAAATCATCACATAAAATTATCAACAGATTTCTCATCAGAAAAGTTGGAGGCCAGAAGAGAGTGGGCTAATATATCCAAAGTGCTAAAAGAAAAGGTCCAACAAGAATCATATATCCAGCAAAACTGTCCTTCAGAAGTGGGGGATATATGAAGATACTCCCAGATGGACAAGGGCTGAAGGACATCGTGACCACTGGACTGCCCTGCAGGAAATGCTCAAGGGCACCCTGTGAGGTTACATAAAAAGGACACCAGACAGTACTTAAAGGTCATGTGAAGAAATAAGGATCACAAAAAAGGAAATACAAGGGCAATTATAAAAGCTAGTTTTCTCGGGGTGCCCAGGTGGCTCAGTCGGTTAAGTGACTGACTCTTGATTTCAGCTCAGGTCATGATCTCAGGGTCATGAGATCGAACCCTGCATCAGGCTCCACACTCCGTGCAGAATCTGCTTAACATTCTCTCTCCCTCTCCCTCTGCCCCTCCCCCTGCACATGTGTGAGCGCATGCGCTCTCTCTCACGCGCGCTAATAAAATAAATCTTTAAAAAAACAAGCTAGTATTCTCCTAACAGTGGTTCGTAACTGAACTTTTCATTTTCTACATGATTTAAGAGACTAATACATTTAAAGAAAAAAACAGCAATTATTAGTGTAAAAGCTAGTATTACTGTAACTTGGTTTGTAACTCCAAATCTTGTTTTCTACATAATTTAAGACACTAATGCATTTTTAAAATTATTAGCTAATGTTTTGGGGCACACAATCTCTAAAAATGTAATTTTGTGACCTCAGCAACCAAAGAGGCGACAGAACTATAAGGGAGCACCGCCTTTTTTTTTTTTAGATTTTTATTTATTTATTTGTTTATTTATTTATTTATTTATTTATTTATTTATTTATTTGACAGAGAGAGAGGGAACACAAGCAGGGGGAGTGGGAGAGAGAGAAGCAGGCTTCCCACTGAGCAGGGAGCCTTATGCGGGGCTTGATCCCAGGACCCTGGGATCATGACCTGAGCCAAAGGCAGATGCGTAACTACTGAGCTACCCAGGTGCCCAGAGGGCAGAGCTTTTATAGGTCATTGAACTTATAGAAGCAAGCCCTTCCTTTATCAGTAATTAATTTAAATATGAATGGATTAAACTTTCCAATCAAAACAAAGATTGGCAGAATGGATAAACACACATGATCCAACTCAATGCTATCTATAAGGAACTCACTTGAGACCCAAAGACAAACACATTGAAGGCAAAAGGATGGAAGAAGATATTCCACACAAATAATAACCACAGAGAGCAGAGGAGGCTATGCTGATATCAGACAAAATACACTTTAAATCAAGAAAGATTACAAGACAAAGAAGGACATCACATATTAATAAAAACTTCAAAACAGCAAGAAGATATAATAATTATAACCATTCCTGTACTGGAAGCAAAAACTGACAGAAGTAAAAGGAGAAATGGACAATTCTACAATAGGAGTTGGAGACTTCAGTACCCCACTCACAATAATGGATAGAACACCAGACATAAGACAAATAAGACAGTAGAAAACTTAACACAGTAAACCAACTAGATCTAACAACATACACAGAACACTCTACCCAACAACAGAATCACATTCTTCTCAAGTGCATATAGGACATTTCCCAAGACAGACCATGTTAGGTCACGAATTAAGTCTCAAGAGATTTAAAAAGATAGAGGCACCTGGGTGGCTCAGTCGGTTAAGCGTCTACCTTCGGCCCAGGTCATGATCCGGGGTCCTGGGATCCAGTCCCCCATGGGGCTCCCCCCTCAGCGGGGAGTCTGCTTGTCCCTCTCCCTCTACACCCCTCCTCACTGCTCATGCTCTCTCTCTCAAATAAATAAAATCTTAAAAAAAAGAAAGATTTAAAAAGATAGACACCATACAAAGTATCTTCTCTGACCGCAGAGGATATAGTTACAAATCAGTAATATGAGTGAAACTGAAAAATACACAAAATTGTGGAAATTAACCAACATACTTCTTAAACAATCAATGAATCAAAGAAAAAAATCACAAAGGAAACTAGAAAATACTTAAAGATGAATGAAAATGA